CTGAAATGGTGATGGTGTTGCTGGACAGACTAGGGCAGAGGAACTGGAAAATACATGGTGGTAACAGCGAGGCTTGTGCAACTCCAGGAACTGAGGTGTGAGAGCACCCAGGCTACAGATCACAGCATTGTTGAGAGTCACGAAGATAGCCGGTGGTGCAGGGCGTGTGAAGCGAACTGGGCAGCTAACTCACCTTTGGGGCCTTTTGCATTAAATACGGTACTATTCACTTTAAAACAAAATCTGCAAAATGTTGTTGTGGAAATCTATTCTTAGGAACTACTTAATTTACCCAGAGACTGATAAGGCAGGAATAACCAAGAGAAAGCAAAGTTGTAACACATGAAAAAGACCAGGCTAAACTGACAGATGGCTTAGCAGCGTGGAGGTGTGAGGACGAGAGGGCAACCCGAGGACTAGGCAGGGATAATCCCAAGTTCCAGCACTAACTGTCTAACTGTTTCATCTCAGAACTTTGCACAGTAACAGCCTTGAAGAGTAAGGCAAACAAACCGTGAGAGAACCGACAGAGCACTACAAACCATTTAGGAGAAAGTCAAGAGAATTCCCTCCACTGTTTCAATAATCACACTGCAACACTTAGTGCATGATCACAGAAAACTGGACGAGCACGTGCAGTGCGTGTGGGGTGAGACAAGCTAATAGGAGGAGACCTCATTCGGGCTAGACTGAAGGTAGATAATGGAGAGTGATGGGACTGTCTGTAGAATGTGATCAAAGTATAACGAAGCCTGTTTCAGCTAAGCCAGGCAGCTGGTGTCCAAGGGACCCAGACGATGGCAGGAAGAGCATCAAGGGTATACAGTGACACAGACCAGGTCCTGGGGGCTGCAGGGTACACCCTGTTCTCAGGGAGAGAGAGAGAGTCGATGCAGGGTTTTAACCACAATACTACAAAGGCGCAGGGAAGCCAGCTAGATGAACACTGCAGAACACGCAGCAGGATGCGGTGGGCAGAGCAGCGCCCAGTCCTGCAAGCCGTCCGCACTTCCCCTGCTGCGTTTCCTTCTCACCCGTCCTGGGTAAGATCCCACCTCTCGCCCACATCGTGAAGAAGGCTATTCTCTGGAATCTGAGGAATCGTAGGTCAAGCAATGTGGGAGGGATCTCGGTATGGGAACTGCCGGCCAAGTGAGAGCTGCCTGTTCGCCTGCGGTCTACCCAAGCTTTACTGTCCGCTGATCCCTTCCCCAAAAGAGAGGGTCAGTTTCAACAGAACACAGTCAAGTCACTCCCTGTTACATTCAGACTCTCTGGAGAGCCTTAATAACCACTGGCAATTATTTCTGCTAATTGGTAGGGGATACAAGTTTTTCCGTAATCCTTGGATCCCCGAGCAAGAATTATCACCATTGCAACCGGTTGACAGGTTAATCACAGCTCTAGAGCAAATCAAGGTTAGCAAAGTCTAAACGATGCCCTCTGGGCCCTGCTGCCTTGGCACCACTCAGCCTCTGGCATCTGGGTCATCATCCTGATGCAAGGTGACATTTTTCAGGGGATCTATCTCCACCCTGACGACAGGGCTCTGATGAAAGTGGCAGCGTGTCCGACACCTGGAAGCATTCCAGTGCTTGACGGAGGGGGCCACGTGGTACTGACAAGAGCTCAGCAGCAGGGCAGCTTGCTGCAGTGTGGTCTAGGCACCTGAGGGCGCGCTGCAGGTGGGACATTCCGCCTCTGCCTGAGGTCTGCCTTTCCGGGCTCACCCATGACAGGGGAGTCAAGCAGAACACGGCAGTGAGAACGTCGCACGTCTCAGTTACACCAAGAGGCGACTCAGCTGTTAGGGTTTCAAAGTTTATTGCAGGAATTTCATACTCTTGCTATTTCCAAGCATGTGACAAGAAATCATACACATTTTCTAATGTTTTATTTCGTAGGTAAGAAAGTGACCATCTTTGAAATTTGGAAAAGATTTTAAAATTCTGAGACTTTGATATAATTAAAGGAACCTGTCAGTGCTTCTCCTACAAGAACTGTGGTCCTTTAAAAGTTTTGCCCTTCTCAAACAAAGGAAACAGCCTTTTAACAGAGAAGTTATTTCAGCAATACAGATTTCAGTTGCAAAGTCAACCATCATATTGCAGCAGGCTTTTGAAGATGACCTGTGGCCGTTTTCTTTGACTTCCAAGAGTGTGTTTTAATCCACTCTCAGGTCTGTTGATTGACACCTTAGTTCAGTCTTCTCATCAGTAGTTGCTCATTGCTTTCCGCGTCCCTTAACCAGTTGATTCACTGAGGCACAGTGTGTGTGTGTGTGTGTGTGTGTGTGTGTGTGTGTGTGAGAGAGAGAGAGAGAGAAGGAAAGAGTCTGTATTATAAGGAAGAATACTTCATTTCTGTAACACTTACAGTGGCGTGATATACACGGGTGTATGCTAACAAAATTAATAGGCTGGGAAAAAACCAATGTGGTAACAAAGCCAAATTCTGCAATTATTTTTAAAGATTTATTTATTTTTATTATAAAGTCAGATGTACAGAGAGGAGGAGAGACAGAGAGGAAAATCTTCTGTCTGATGATTCACTCCCCAAGTGAGCGCAACAGCCGGTGCTGAGCCAATCCGAAGCCAGGAGCCAGGAACTTCCTCCAGGTCTCCCACACGGGTGCAGGGTCCCAATGCTCTGGGCCGTCCTCGACTGCTTTCCTAGGCCACAAGCAGGGAACTGGATGGGAAGTGGAGCTGCCGGAATTAGAACCGGCACCCATATGGGATCCTGGGCGCGTTCAAGGCAAGGACTTAGCCACTAGGCCACCACGCCGGGCCCCACATTCTGCAGTTTTACAAAATGGAAAAAAACTACAAGATGATACAACTTACGATGACTCAACTAATTGGTAAGAAACAGGAACTCTAACATACTTTGCAGAAATGTTGACAAATATATGTGATTCAATAAGTGCCTTAAGTATATTTTTATACTGATTCTGAAATACATGGACACTATTGGTTTTGTGTAAACTTTCATTGAAGCACCATTAATGCTACTAAATTTTAAATTAATCTTCTGTGTGTTAGGATACTTGGATTTTGTAAAAATAAAATAATTTAATGCTTTTACTGTTTTGTATTTTAATTTGTGTAAATTATTATCTGGGTCGATCCTAATGCTTCCAAGTATTTGCTGGGACTGTGATCATAGCGCATGTGTGCCCAGGTGAAGTCCGGGTAAACCTCTGGCCTCACCGTTCTAATATAGAAGTGCGCTTAGACTGCAGAATTCAATGCTGTGAGAATAAATTATTGTGGGACCTGGCACGATGACTCAGCGGCTAAATCCTTGCCTTACAACCTCCGGGATCTCATGTGGGTGCTGCTTCATGTCCCAGCTGCTCCACTTCCCGTCCCGCTCCGTTTGTGCTCTGTGAAAACAGTAGACGATGGCCCATCGCCTTAGGACCCTGTACCCACGTGGGAGACTTGGAAGAGCTCCTGGCTGCTGGCTTCAGATCAGCTCACCTTCAGCTTGGGCAGTGAACCAGCAGACGGAGGATCTTTCTCTCTGAAAATCTGCTTTTCTCATAAAAATAAATAAATCTTTAAAAAAATAAATTATCCTGTTACTATGCTCCTGTAATAACTGGACATCTATATTGCAATTTGAATTTCAGGATTTTCTTACAAATATGAGATTGTTCGATGGAATAATTAATAGGCCATCAAAGAAGCATTTGAACAAAGACTGTAGAAAGATCTCATAACACAGGTAGAGAACAAAACTGTATGTTGCAGAAACAAGGTAAATGTGGCTGAAACATGTTAGAAAAAACTGAATAAAACACACATACAAATAATATATATATAATCAAAATGCAAGTTCATCCTAATGAGAATCAAAGATAGTATGTTTTGTAGCAGGAGTTTCTGAGTTGAAAAAAAAAAGTGATTAGTAGTAAAGAATGAGTTTAAGTGTCCTTGATGAAATGTAGTCCTGGATTTCTCTCCAGGGTTTATTGCCTCTCGGCGGGACTGCTGTCCTTGTGCCCGCCTGCCTTCGGGGCCCTGATCACGGGAATCTTTGTCTCTCAGACAGAGGCTGGCCTCCGAGGAAACACCCTGCTCCTTTGGCACATCTTTGCTTTCTGCACTGGGCAGAGGAGGAAGCACATGAAAGTGATTTTCAATAATCTAACTTCAGCAACTGCTTGGCTCTCTCTCGAGAGGAACTCCTCAGATGACGGCAGCCTTTGGCCTGAGTACTTTATGAAAGACGTGGAATACAAGCTGGTTTTCTACATCCATCAAGTGGCCAGAGGGGTCTCTCTTGGTACTTTCTTTTAAAAAAAAAAAAAAAAAAAAGATTTATCTTATTTTTATTGGAAAGGCGGATATACAGAGAGGAGAGACAGAGAGGAAGATCTTCCGTCCGTTGATTCACTCCCCAAGTGAACGCAACGGCCAATACTATGCCGATCCGGAGCCAGGAGCCTTTTCCGGGTCTCCCACGCGGGTGCAGGGTCCCAAGGCTTTGGGCCGTCTTGTACTGCTTTCCCAGGCCACAACAGCGAGGTGGATGGGAAGTGGAGCGACGGGGACACAAACTGGCCCATATGGGATCCTGCCGCGGCAAGGTGAGGATTTAGCCACTGGGTCGGGCCTGAGGGTGACTTTTCTACACTACTGAGTAGTAAGTGGTAGTCTGAGAAATGGGTACTCCAGCTGCTGTCGTTAGACTTAGTGGAGTTTGTCTTAACTGGCTCCACCAGAGATAACTCTGACTTCCCCGAACATGGAAGCATGAAGCCAAAAGTAGAAATGCAAAGCTTTGCAGGGCTTGCTGAGAAGCTCTGGGGAACAAGGCAAACTAGGCGAGAAATTAGAACTACTTAGGTACTAATTTACAAGGGAAAGGCATAAAAATTCTTCATTCAGGGCCTAATTTATCCCCTTAACCCCTCCAAAACTGCAAAATAAAGACCCAAGATCTCAGATGGATCCAACAATAAAGAATTTATTAGGGCAAAAACTGGAAGTGTGGAGTTGGTAGTTAGCAGTGGCTAGAAGGCTGGAAAAAAAGTCAACTTTAAGCAAGTAAAACCAATAATCTTCATGAATAAAGTAAGGCCTTCATGGATGGTGCCAGCAGAATGAAGACGGAGTCCTTAGAAACACTGGGGCAGGTGTAGGCTTTACGCCATCAGAAAGGAAATCACTTCCAAAAGGCCTGCGTTTCCTCCCAGTAAAGTATGTCAGTGCCAGGCAGCCGTAGCACACTGCGCCCAGTGACAGAGGGCAGATAGCGACCATCAGAGAAGACCGGAAGCGGTTACTCTGGCAAGGACTCTGGGCCATTTAGAGGAAGCATCACCTGATGTTTAGAACCAATGCAGAATTGTACCCCTCCGGCTGTTTGGAAGTGTGGGGTTCAACTTCAGGCCGATGGCTATATCAGAAAAGCTATTTGTGCCACAATAATAATAATAAAATGGCACATGTGTTGCGGGCTTAAGCCTTTTTCCAATATGAATTTTCAGGAGCTAGACGATGTTAGCTTTGGGACCCAAGACTCTCCCCCTCTTGCTTTCACATGGCCTCTCCATGCTGTGAGATTTTCGGTGGAGAATGAGGCCAGAATGTTGGGTAAAGGCCTTCCCACACTTGCCACACTCGTAAGGCCTTTCTCCAGTGTGAACTACCTGGTGTTGAATAAGGCCAGACTTTTGAATAAAGGATTTCCCACACTGCCCACATTCATAAGGCCTTAATCCTGTGTGAATTTTCTGGTGCTCAACAAGAGTATAGCTTTGCCTAAAAAATTTCCCACATTCACTGCACTGAAAAGGCCTTTCTCCAGTGTGCGTTCTGTGGTGTCGAACAAGTTTGGACTTGAACATGAAAGCTTTCCCGCATTCCTCACACTCGTAAGGCCTTTCTGCAGTGTGAACTTTGTAGTGCTTATTGAGGGTGGCTCTTTGGCTAAACGATTTTCCACAGTAGTCGCACTCAAAAGGCTTAGCTCCACTGTGAATCAGCTGGTGCTGAAGGAGGCCATATTTGAGACTAAAGGACTTCCCACATTGGCTGCACTCATAAGGCCTTGCTCCAGTGTGAATTATCCGATGTTCAAGCAGACTGTGACTTTGTGTAAACAATTTTCCACACTCAACACATTCATAAGGCTTTTCCCCTGAATGAATCCTTTGGTGCCGAACAAGAGTGGATTTGGAACCAAAGGCTTTCCCACATTCATCACACTCATAAGGCCTTTCACCAGTGTGAATTCTACAGTGTTCAATGAGATTGGAACTTTGGCTAAAGGATTTCCCACACTGCCCACACTCGTAAGGCCTCTCTCCAGTGTGGACTCTGTGATGTTTAATGAGAGAGGCTCTTTGGCTAAATGACTTCCCACACTGCCCACACTCGTAAGGCCTCTCTCCAGTGTGGATTCTCTGATGGTCATTCAAGTGAGATGTCTGGCTAAAAGATTTCCCACATTCACTGCATTCATAAGGCCTTTCTCCAATGGGCACCTTCTGGAGCTGAGTCAGCGAGTACTCGCAACGGTAGGGTGTTCCACATTTTGGAGATTCATAAAGCCTTTTTCCAGCAGGGACTCTTGGGTGGTGAAAAAGAGCATGTTTGTGGCTAGCTTTCTTGTATTCACTCCACATGCAATGGCTTGTTCCAGCGTGAAAGGACCCCCTATCCCCGGCTACTATGCTTGGCTTCTCACAGCTGGGAATATCTGGGGGCTGGAAAGCACGCAGCATGGCTGGGTAGTCCTTTCCCGCCTCCTCCTGGGCGGAAGGCTTCCCAGGTGCACGGAGCAGGAAGTTCTTCTCCTGTGACGCCCTTTCCATGTCACTGCTCCAGGGTTTCTCTGCTCTGTGATGCTTCTGGTGCCAATGAAGGTTTGCACATGCACCAGTGAAGCATGTTGTCCACACGGGCAGCTCAGTCAGGTGCAAAATGTCCTTCAGGACTGGGACACACAGTTCACAGGGGCGAGCATCCTGGCTGGCTGGCGCCATCTCTGGAGTCCTGACCTGTGACGCTCCTTCTACGAAAGCCCTCTTCTCAGAAGGTGTCTCTTCATCATCCACTCCATGTCCACAAACTAAAAGCAGAGAACTGGTGATGAGATGCATGCTGACTCAGTTGAAACGTATTTCTCAAATATTTGATATTTTCTGTAAATATTTTTTACAACTGAAAAATACTGCTCCCACATTTGGATAATTAAGAACTACCAAAGGGCTTAGCTGAGAACACAATACTCAAATGCAAACTCACCATTTCATAGTTGCCTATGTTGAGTGAGAAACTTCTGCCCTAATCACCTCAAAGTCACAGACATCCACCGCCAACCACTGCCTTTGCCCTGAAACTTCCTAGAATTCTTCAAACCATCCAATCCTGAACTGCTCCCCACGCCCTACCTTTCCTGTGAACTATGCTACGGGATCTTTCTTGCTTCTCTTCCTAACGTCCTGTGAGGCATGGTGTTCATTTGTCATTTAAACAACAAATTCTTCTGTTAGTGTATATGTTAGCAAGCAGTCACCTCCATAAGTTACAGGTGCATTTCAAAACAGGCAGAAGAAGCCCTGCCACACACACGTCAAAGAATGAGCCCACAGCATTGTTCTGAAGATGACAGAACTAGCAGATAAAGGCAGATCAAGGAAGGGACAGTTTGGCATTCTTGGGACCCTAAAGATCAAACACTGAGAGGAAGCAAAGGACACAGGAAGAGTGTGCAGGAAGAGGCGGGGTCTACAACTCACTCCTTTGTCAGTAGCCTTCAGCTACAGCTTGTGAGCTGCTGACACGTGGTCGCTGTACTGTAGGCTGTTGTGTCAAGGAATAGGAAACTCTAACCAGAACTGAGTAGCAGCTTCCAGTTGACACATGGGTCAGTGCTGCAGAACGCAGTGGACAGGCAATGTCGGGGAGCCGGTCAGAAGCAGAGGACAGGAAGATGGGAGCAGTACAAGGTCAGAAGTCACACACCAAACAGTCATTCTGCAAAGATGGTGTCCGATGCCTTGAGGGCAGAACTAAGAGGAGTTCATAGCATTCACAGAAACTCTGGCGGACACAGGACGGGTGGGTGGTCTGACCAGGAAATGGGCATGATGGCACGCCCTCCTAGGAGACTGAAGAAGGCAGGCATCCTCTGAGACCACGCCTCCATGTGCACCCTGGGGAGAAGCCAGAGCTTCCCTTGAGCCTCATGCACACCACACAGCATGTGTGAGAAGCATGTCCTAACGAGACGCAGTGCAGATCAGGAACCAGCACTAGCTCAGAGCGAGTCAGCATACCACAGACCACAGGAAAGCAACCACTACAGAGACTGCCAATGGGGGCTCCAGCAAGCACACACAAGGTCCACATCATCAGTCAGTCATCAAGAAAAGGTCTGCGACAGCTGACACAAGTAGCTGCCAGGAAATGCCAACTAGAAGGACGCAGAACTTGTTTCACACCACGGATCTGGACACAGCAACCTGAAGAGCCAGTAAGCTTTTGAGTGTCAGCCATTAGGTGGAGTGGACGCACTGGGCCATCAGGCCCAGGGGAAGCAGGCGTGAGAGCTGCTCTGGGGGTCTACTGCTCAGCACGGTGCAAAGCGCTCGTTCCTGACACCACAGCACACGTGCAAAGGCAGTGGGGAAGTTGGTGGAGTCCATGCCGGGTTCCGGGAAGGGCACAGCCACGTCTAGGGCAACAGTGGATGGACAGGGATTGGTAGGACAGTGGGGGAGGTTGTGAGGGCCTTACCCAGCGACGCCACCAGTGCAAAGCTCTCCAGCATCACGTCGAGGTACAGCAACCGCTGAGTCCCACTGAGGAGCCTCCACTCTTCCCGGGAGAAGCAAATGGCTACGTCCTCAAAGGTCACACAGTCCTGCCACGATGGGGACAGACTTTTCCATGATTAGATTTCCTCCTGGGAGCCCACGGCCATGCCCCTGCTCGTCCTTCTGCCCCATCTGAGGAGAGACCCCGATGCTTACTCCCTTCTCCTACTCCCCTTGTTCTCGGCATCATCCCACAGCACCAACAGGCACCTGGGCTGGAAGACACCAGGTGGGTGTCTAACTTGTGGGTCCAGCAAGTAGAGCTGGATCCTCATTTAACAGATCATTTTCTGGGGATTCCCAAGATGGTGCCTGGACACAACCAAACGTGGGTTCATTCCTCATTCTTGTGTCTTCCATGCCACAGCCATGGGTCCCTTGGTGCGCACTGCTTCTCCCAGGGGATTTTGTTCTTTGCGCCCAATCACATGGCTTCACAACACAGCCACTTCCACTCCCCTGCCTGCACTTCGGCATCACCCTGCCTTCTCCACATGTGACTCAGCACACGACATCCAGTGAGTACTTGGAAGCGGAGACAAGACTCGCCACCCACACCCCGATGGTCCCCGCTGTGAGAGGCAGCCCACAGCCTATTCGGACAGCCTCTGGTGTTACTCTAACTTACGTTTCTGTAACAAGACATCAGAGACAGGCTGGTTCACACCAGAGAGGGGATTACTTTGGCTTAGAGTTCTAGAGGTGTAGTGTCCAGGGGTCTCGTTGGATGATAACCTTCTTGCTGACACAGTCCTGAGGTGACAAAGAGTGTCACGTAGCAAGGACAGGGAAAGGAAGTGGGGAGGCGAGGCCTAGAAAGAGGGCATACATGGCTCCGTCTTCTCACAGTGACCAGGACTCAGTCATGGAGTTCTGCCCTAAGCACTTTATCTAATCCTCGTCACTTCCCAAAGGCTTACCTCTAAACAATGCATTAGGCCCCCAGCCTCTGAACACCCGCACGGGGATTACATTTTGGCACAAGAAGATTCACAGACACTCTGAGCACATTCCAACCACAGCAGCCTCGGCAACTTGTAATCCAACTTCAGGCACCCGAACAACCTGCACATCTCAGATGGCCAGGGCTCCCTTCTGCTTGGGTCATGCCCCAGACTCCCTTACTGCTCACGGCTGTCCCTCCACCTAGCCCTCATAGACAGCCATGCTCTGGGGGTCATCCTCCCCAGATATACCAAAGTTTCCAAATCCCAAGGGCTTTAAAGCATGCCAAAGAAGGACTAGTCACGGTTTGGTGTCTCTGTTGCTCCCAGCTCCACACACTGAACTCGTATCACTCAGCCCTCAGACTCTGGTCAGTTGCCAGATCTTTTCCATGGTCCCCATGGCTTCTTCTCTGTGATTCCCATCACGACAACCCAACTACCCAAGAGTAAGACTGAGTACCAACTGCCCCTCCTCTTCCCTATACCACCGATAGTATGAGCTGCTTGGGTAAGAACCTCTTCCTAATTGTGACCCAAACTGGACCCCAAGACAAGTACTGGCCCCCTAAGGTCTTTGGATGTCGCCATGTTAAATCGATCCCCTTCTTTGAAGTCCTCTGTGGTCATCTATCCAACCCATACAAAACCAACTTTTGTAAAGCATTTCAGATTGTAAAGGTGCCCCAAACTAAACTTGTAATATCAACTTGTAACAACAACCCCATTATCACACTTATCTCAGTTATGGAAGGTTCCATTTTGCCAGGTGCTAAACCTAAATACCTTGCTTTCATCACTGAATCCAACTGGTTTTTGGTCCTCAACGTTTGAAATCAGTCTAGCATCTGATAGTTCTAGCACGTCTACCACACCCAGGGCCATTCACCTAACCACCGCAGTAGCCTCCTCCTTCCTTCTAGCCGTCCCTCATACTTTCCCATTCTGCAGTCACGGGGAGTCTGGTGAGATCTGGGTCTCATCACCTCCGACCTTTGTTTCAAAACTCCCAGTGCTTCCCTCGCTCCAGAAGACACACCAAGCACCTGAGGGGCACCCCAGGTCTGACTGTGAACCCCAGCTTTCAACACACACAAGGAAGGATGTCTGTACCTCCCTATGCCAGATCAGCCTCCCCTGCAAGCAAACTTCCGTTGCTCACTCACTGTCCTGGTTTCCAGCAACAGAAGCCAGTCCACACGTTCCCCACGCGAGACTCAGCGGCTGGCTGTCCCTGCGGAATCTTTAGGCCTAAGGTCTGGGAGAGTGCCGGAAGCCCAGAGCGCTATCCCAGAGTCAGAGGGTGAGGCCCTTGAACCTGTGTGACGTCCTCCCGGGCGTCTACAGTCCCAGGGGCCTGTCAGGAGGCAGGTTTGCAGTCAGGCCGCCACGTGGGCTCCCTATGCTCAGACCTCTGACTCGCCTATCAGGTCACCTCTGCGTGACTGCCCTGCGTTCCTCAGTCCTCCTGCCGTCCCTGCTGTGCAACCTTGTACAGGCACTCCGCCTGGGCCTCGGAATTCTCCTCCCCTCCCAGACTGCTCTCTCGGCAGCTTAAGGAAAACCCTGAGAACCCTACCTGGGCCCTGCGACTGCACTGTCACCGTCCTTCATTGCGCCCGTAGTCCCCTGCGAAAGCAAACCTCTCGCTTGGCCACTCTGGGCGTGAAGGCAGCCAGCCCAATCATCCTAACAGCATGGACAGAAGCCCCCTGCCGCCCACTCTCCGCGCACGGTGACTTCAGCAGGCACTTTAGGATCGAGTCCAGTCAGGGTCTGCGGAGCCCCACTGATTTACCTGCGCTGGACCCCTCAGCGCGGCCACAGCTGTAGGACTATGTGGACGAAGGGGTCCAGGAGCAACGGGTGCCCAGGGCCGGGACCCAGACACAGCCATCACCGCTCATTCGCCCGCTGGGCAGCGGGCACGATCTGTGTGCCTGACCCCGACTCAACTACTGACAGTGTGGACAGCCCTAGGGAGCCTACAAAATGACGGTCCCGGGAACAACTCCGGAAGTCCCGCCCCGACCCAAGGACAACAAGAAACACCCCCGACTCGTCCAATCCGGAGCATCCTCTCATGGGCTTCCACGTCCCTCAATGCTATGCATTGTGGGTATTGTAGTTCTCGTCGCTCCCACCCGCTGGTCTAGTCCAGGATACCCCGAGAACAAAGAGGCTGCTAGGGCGCGCTGCAAAGATGAGGGAGTAGGGGTCGCGGGCAGATCCGGGCTGACCAGTCCTCCTGGACTCGCCGGAGAGCGGGGCGTGGACTCAAATGGCATCTGTTCAAGACAGTTTCCTGAAATAAACAATTTACAGCTGCTGATGGGGCAGACGCAGGAACGTGATGCTGAAACTGCACGGCCGGTGTGAGGATCTGAGGGACTGCAGGCGCAGAAAGTACAAGGACGCTCTCAGAGAATCAGGATGTCAACGGACTTGAATTGGGGCGTAGGCTAAGCCTGTGCCTGAGGAATCAGCATCCCATGGGCGTGCCAGCTGTTCCACTTCCCATCCAGCTCCCTGCCTGTGGCCTGGGAAAGAGTGGAGAATGGCCCAAAGCCTTACGTGGTGGATTTCACATGCGTGGGAGTGGCCCTGGAGGAGACTCCTGGCTCCTGGCTTCAGACAGCCTCGGCTTTAGCCACTGTGGCCTTTTAGGCAGTGAAGCAGAGGAGAGCAGCTTTTTCTCTGTCTCTCCTTCTCTCTGTAAATCTGCCTTCCCAATAAATAAATAAATCTTTAAAGAAGATCTGTCTAGGGTCTGGCACAGTAGCTTAGGGTTAAAGTCTGCCTTGCATGTACCAGGATCCCATTTGTGTGCCAGTTCATATCCCAGCTGCTGCACTTCTCTTCAAGTTCCCTGCGGCTAAAAAATATTTTAAAGCTATTAGCACCCAGATAACACATGTAATCAGGTAATGGCATTAATTATATATATATATATGGTTTCAAAATAATATAACCCGTAAATCTTAGGCCCCAGTGCAATGGCTCAATTGGCTAACCATTCTCCTTCAAATGCTGGGGTCCCATATGGGTGAGGGAATGTGTCCTGGCTGCTCCTCTTCCCATCCAGCTCCCTGCCTGTGGCCTGGGGAAGCGGTGGAGGATGGCCCAGGGCCTTGGGACCCTGCAGCCAAATAAACACTTCTGGCTCTGGATCAGCTCAGTTCTGGCTGCTGCAGCACTTGGCGAGTGAGCTAGTAGAAGGAAGATCTTTGTTTCTCCTCTCTGTGGATCTGCCTTTCCAATAAAAATAAATCTTTTTAAAAAGTTTAGCAAAGGGCCTGGCACAATAGCCTAGTGGCTAAAGTCCTGGCCATGCATGTGTTGGGATCCCATATGGGCACAGGTTCTGGTCCCAGCATCCTCCACTTTCATCCAGCTCCCTGCCTGTGACCTGGGAAAGCAGTCGAGGACAGTCCAAGGCCTTGGGATCCTGCACACACATGGGAGACCTGGAAGAAGCTCCTGATTCCCAGCTTCAGTGCCAAATATGGGATATCCATATTTATAAAGAAACCAATTCATGCTGATGCCACATGCCCTGGGACCAACCAACAAACTGCTCCAACCTTAAGCTGATGTGGAATTGTAAAACCTGTTAGATTACAAGGCAAGGAGTTTAGGGCAGAAGTCCTTCTGCAACTTCTGAAGCAATAAAGTGTGCCTAACAGGGACTGCAATGTTCCATCTGCCTGGTACTTTCTGTGGAGCACACAGAGGCGAGGAACCCACCCAACTAGCCATCTATGGCTTCCAAGAGTAGTTAAGATTAAATAATATGCCTGTTATCACAAAAATTGACACAATGGAACAGGAAGTTGCTGGGCTGGTTAGGTCACATGGAAAGTGGAAAATTCATCACAACTATGAAAGACAAGCAATAATATGCCTAAAGAATAAAAACTCCCTGCCAGCCAACTTGCATCCCATGAGCTAATTTATGTCCACACCCAGATCAGTTTGGGAATGGGAACTAGGCAACACGGAGGACTCAAAGGACTACGGGCACTCTAGGTAAGCCCCCCCCTAGTATTTTAAGGTGACTAAGGTGCCATGTGCTGTGACCCCATGGCAGCTAACACATGAGCTTGAACCGCAGCCCGACGTGATGGCTC